GGTGGATCAAGTTGATTGTGGGGAGGCTGAGCCAAGCTGCAGACAGCCACAGGGAACTCGCTGACATCCGAGGGAGTTGGGGAGCTGTGAGCCTGGGGCAGAGCCCCCAGTCGAGGGCAGGAGCAGGTCCAGAGTGGCTCCCATGGGAAGGAGAGGAGGAGAGAGGGCTGGAGTGAGGGAAGGGCACAGGAGGGGAGTCCTTCCCAGTGCCGGCCAGCTGCCAGGTCAGGTACAAGTAGGTGGCAGGTAAAGGACCTACCAGGGCCCCATGAAGCTAAGCGGGTGACACATAGGCCAAGGCCACCTCTGGCCAGCAGCCCTGCGGGCAATCAACTCTAGAGGAAAGTGGGCATCAGAGCTGCCTGTCCTCACCGGAGAGCATGGGACGCTGGACTGTCACTTACTGAGTCTCACTCCATGCTGGGGGGAAGGTAGCAGAAAGCCTAAGAGCTTAGAGGAAAGCTAGAAGGTGGGCCATGTGGGCAGGGGCACGGAGGCGGCTGCCTGAGCCCCAGCCCTGGAGCACATGACCCGACCAGAAGGACAGGAGTCTGGAACTCCTGGTCTCGGGGTGGGGGTGGGGAGGTTGCCTCAGGGAACTGACAGCTCCCAGTGGCGCTCCAGAAGTCGGGGTTCCAATGGCACTCCCTACCTCCCTACCCACACTAAATCCAGCACCAGGCCCCTGCAGAATCCCGGCAGATTCCCATCGGCCTGCTCCTCTTTTTAGGACCTGGGTCACCTTCCTGCAGGATTACTGCAGCTCTTTCCTCACTGGGCTCCCTCCACTACAGCAGCTGGGAGGGTCAAGTCCCAAGTTTCTCCCTGGCCTTCAAGGCCCTACATGGCCAGGGCTCTGGCTGTGTCTCCAAATGCATCAACCCCTCCACTCTGCTGGCCACGTGGGTCCTCCACACTCCCTCTCACTCCTGTGCACGCAGTGCCAGGCAAGCTCTCTCCCTCCCTCTGGCCGCGCCCCTCCTTGCTTCTTAGTTCCAGGTTTCTTCCTTCAGACCTCCGCTGAAGTGTCACCTCCTCCGGGAGGTCCTCCTGACCCTCAAGTCCAGGTCAGGTTACACTATGATGCATCTCCGAAGCACCCAGATGTTTCCTTTATATGCTTATCACAGCCTAGAAACACACATGTACCTGTTATTTGTTTAGTAACGGCGGAGGCGTCTGGCAGAGCATCAATCAGTGAGTGATGAATCAGTGATGAGGGACTGGCTGTCCACCAGGGGTAGGGGCCACTCTTAGTTTTGTTTACTTTCTGTCCCCGGAGCTGACCCAGAGACAGACACCTACTACCTGCTCCACAAGCATTCACTGATGGAGAATGAAGGACAGCCACAACCGGTCAGACAATGGGAATGTGGGATGGAGTCCTCTGGCTCCAGGTTTCAATGCTGACAACTCCCATTTACTTCAAATAACTTGCTCACCAGGGCCACCTCTGGCCAAGGCTTGGCAGAGACAGGGAGCCTTGCCCTCGGTCCCCAGCAGCAAAAAGCCCTGATTTCCCAGAAAGGCATGGCCCACCTTCAAGCTGGGGAGCAGGGATGGGGAAACCCTGCCCCTTGCCTGCACGCAGACACTCTCTGACTTCCTGGCTTTCGAGGTGGAATCAGAGTTGCTTCTTGCTGTCACCCCCCTGGACGCAGGCTCCCCCACTCTGCTGGTGGCCGAGGCTGTACTTGGGCCAGCAGGTGCGTGCTAGAGCTCCAGATCACAAATGACAGGTAGCTTTGTACAGGGTAAAAGTCACAACTTTTTCCCACCACCAATTTGTAAGTCTCATCCTCTGCCGCAGTGATTTACCGACCACGGGGTCACACAACTTCCGGCTGGGAAGAAATGAGATGGCATCTGCCACCTGAGTTAATGCAGCCCTGTCCCCCGGCTGTTTGAACCCAGGGGTTCCCTCTGCCTTGGGGCAGACTTTTCCCAGGAGGGAGGGAACACAGCTGCTCTGGAGTCAGACTAGTCCTGGCTCTGACTCCAAAGACAGTGCCAGGGAGCCTACTGTCCCCATGCTGTCACCACACAGGCTGCCCACTCCCAGCAAACTTCCTGAGGCTCCAGGACACCATCTCCCGCATTCACATCCAGACAACCATCCTCATTTTTTTTTTTAATTTCTCAGGGTCCCACAGGAGGGCCACAATGATCTTGTTGGCCCAGCACTCCATAAATCTCCTGTTTCTAACTCATTACCTTCTGATTAGCTGAAAGGCCGGGCCCTTGTTTCACACAGTGTTTACGAGCTCTAGTAATGGCCACAGCTGTTCATGAAGGCCCTGCCATACCCTTGGTCCACTTTCCTGCCCACAGGCTCCCTCCCTGCTCCACATTTTCTCCAATGTGGCTGCCACACCCACGGGGGAGAATCAGGGAGGTGCGGCAGGGACAGCTGAGACAGACATCTCCCACTCCAAGCCAGGCAGCAGTCCAGAGAAGGGGGCCCCGTACCTCTCCCACCAGCCCGCACAAGACTCCAGCACCCACCACAGGTGCCTCCAACCAGATGCATCAGCAAATCATGGTAAGAGCTTTCAGCGCCCATCACCTCGATCAGCAAAACCACAAAAAGCCTATCAGGTCGCCACTGGCACAAACTCTGAGTGAAGAGCAGAGAAGTAGTCCGCCAGGGTGTTTCCAATCAGGAGACTCTGACTGCCCACCTTCCAAGTGAATCCCAGGCAAATACCCCCAAGGAGCTCACCAGCACGCTTTCCCAACGACCATTCGGCAAAAAAGTAGCCACCGAACTTTCCCAGACTTATTAGCTTACATAAACAGACATTTGAATAAATGTTTAAAAAATGAAATTCCCTTGATACTCCGTAATCAGTAAATGTTCATTATGGAAACACAGCAGATATGCATGAAATTTCCCAAGTGGTATTCTGGCTACAAGATTACAAAGGCATCTCAGACAGCAGGCTGAGTTACAAAGCCTCCTCTTCCGGTCACAATCTGGCAAAGATTTGCCAAGCCCAGGAGGTCAGACAAGCCTGCTCCTCTCCCAGCCGGAGCCAGTGAAAATCAGCCCATGCTCCTTTTGCCTGCTCAGGCATTTTATAAATGAGCCCCCACGTCAGCTGATTGATGTCTCTCTATAAATAATTAATCCTTGACCTTGTTTTAAGAAAGCCTTGACTTTTTAATTTGGGGTCTTTTTAAAAATCAATACCAAGGGAACATAATTCACTCTGTGGAGTTTGATTCCAAGTAAATAAATAAATAAGCCATGCCATTGGTGTGTCTCAGGGTGAATGGGCTAGGCGATGGGATGGGGTCTGACTCTGGGGTTGTCTGTGTTCAAATGCTATTAAATTATTGATCATCCTAAGAGACTCAACCTCTTCAGGGTCTGTATTTTATTCCTCCTGTGGGTCATTTCACAGAGGCAAGTCTGATGAGGGCTCCACTCCCCACAAGGGCTCCTCCGCCCTTGTCCTTCCATATGTGGCGGGCTGCCTGGATTTTAAAAGGGTCTCCTACAGGGAGCAGAAGGTCACCTCTTCCTGCAGCCTGTCAGCCTTGCCTTTGGGACAGGGACAGAGGGTGGGCAGAAGAGGCCATACAGGTGGGAAATTTTAAAGAGGGTTCTGCCACTCCGTTCCAGAGGCCGCCCAGTTCTAGGGCAGGACTTGAGAAAAGTTCCCCACCTATAGGCAAGGGTCAAGGTGAACTCGGATGTGAGAGGTTACCCAAAAAAGTGATCTTGGTAGTGCAGCTTGGAAGCATCCCAGAAATGAGGAAGGGGCCAGTCTGTCCCTTACCCCTCTGCCAACTCCTCTCCCACCATGCACCCCACAGGGGCTATGGTCCGTTCACTCAACCGCCTCCCGCTCCGGCTCTGCTGCGGGGCCAGACACGGACCGCCCTGCCGCCCAGTCTCCCTAGCATAGACAATCACTGCGCAGGGTCCAACAGGGAGGCGCCCCAAGGACCCGAGACCCACCGGATCCGGGAGACAGCTTAAGACAGGAAGCCCCGGGAACGGCCCCTACTTCTCGGTTAGAGTAACCCCGCAGCGAGTGCTCACAGCCGAGGGAGTTGAGCAGCTGCCGCGCCAGCTCTGGGTCGGGGGTTACGCGGGGCCTGGGGACCAGATGTAGGACGAAAGTTAGGGCGGCAAGAGTCCTGCGCCTGGAAAGGGAGAGGGGACCCTCCGAATCAAGCGCCAACACTGGCACTACCAAAACCCGCCAACGCACCTTTGCCTGGCTGAGCCGGCCTCTGGCGAGGTCAGAGCTAGCGTGCAAAACTGGAAGCTAGCAGCTGGAGTTGCAGCCGTCGCCAGAGCTCGCCTGGGTCCCGCGGCGAAGCAGCTCCGCCCACCCGAGCAGCCCCGGGCTCGGACTCCCGCACTCCCGGACACTCGCACGCACACACCTTTACACATCACTGACGCACACACACTCGCCTCAAGTACAAAACAGGCCGGTGCCCTGGAGAGTGGCGGGGTGGGGACGCGCGCGATGGAGCGCGGGGGCACCTTCCGCCGCTCGCTGGGAAGCCCTGGCAGCTCGGAACTCATCCCCCGCCCCCGCCCGCCACAACCAGCCCCCGAGTCCCAGACTGGAGCGCGCGGGAAAGCCCCGGGCGCCCCGGACGCTCCAGCCCGGCCCTCTCCGCCGCCAACGCTGCCTCCCCGCGCCCGGCACCCAGGGCTGGGAAGAGGAGCACAGCATCCGCAGGGACCGAGGGAGCCCGAGGGGCGGCAGTGCACAGACGCGCGGCGGCAAGTGAAAGCCATGGAGCAAAAGTCTAATTAAAGTTCCCGCTACTGGAGCCGGTCCCCAATGCGCGGCCGGACCGGAACCCCGCGCGCCCTATCTCCGCCTTCGGCTTCGAACGCTTAACCGTGCAGGTTCTCGGCGCCGGGACGCAGTGCTGTCCCGAGTCCTCCCGGGACCCCTCGGGGCGCCCTTCCCGGCCGGGAGCCGGCACAGGGCCGGGACAGGGCTGGGGCGGGGGCGCAGCGCACTTACCTGGCGCAGCCGGCGCTCGCGGGGCCGCGGGCGCCTCCAGCCCGGGCTCGGTCCTCCACGGCGAATCCTCGGCTCCCGGGGGCCGCGCGGCCGGGACGACCTCCGCCTCAACTCGGGCCCGGGGCCTCCTCCCGCTCCGAGCGGAGACCGGTGCGGTGGGTGAGGCTAGCGGCGCGGGCCGGCGGCCGGAGCGCGCAGGAGAGGGAGGGGGAGAGGGTGCGGTGGCGTGTTCTTCCTCGGCCCCGAGCCCGGGTCCGTCCCCCGCCTCCCACCTCCAGCCTCCCGCCGCCGCCACCCTCTCCTCTCCCCACAGCACCGCCAGATCCGGCTAGAGCGCCGGGAAGGCTCCCAGAGAAGTGCGAGCGGAGCCTCCGGCAAGGCTGGAAATAACGCCGCGCCCGCCCGGCGCC